GGGGGCGTGTCTGTTTTTTTTTTTTACAACGACGCTAAAACGCCCCCCCCCCCCCCCCCCCCCCCCCCCATTGGTTTAACCCAGACCCACCTCCTGGAAGTGTCCTTAATATTATCTCAAGTACAACAGCGATGCAGATTTTATTCTGGGAAGATGTTTCTCTTCCACGAATCAATTCTGTTAAAATGTTGATTTGTCACTAAACATGTCTGTTTCAAATCATTTGGCCTTTCAGGAGGTCGACTGGGTTATTGTTCAGTTGCATGATGGGGTTTATTGACACGCTCTTGCCTGTTGCCTTCTGCTGAATAGAAGCTGGTCTAGTTACTGTAACTCTGGTACGTAAATCCACTGTTAAAGTCTGCTATGAAGATCATATTGCTATGAGACAAATTCCTAACAGTGGTCACATTTGATAGGTTACAGAGTTGTTTGTTGTCTTCTTAAGTATTTGTTCCAGCCTCTGTTCAGCCGGATGCTCTGTTTACAGTAGCTGCACTTTATTTTCTTTTGTTTGTTTTCTCTTAGAGTTTCGGGGGACAGTGTTTTTGATTTTCTGCATTGCCTTTTTTTCCTGTTCCCCCACATTTTCCTTTTGTTGTCTTATGTTTTTGCAGAGCTAGGTAACGTCCCGGCTGGTAAGTGAAACCATATTGGACTCCTAATCTGTGTTATGAACGCATGGTTCCTTCCCCTTTTGCACTTTTACAAACTAACGAAATGGAACAGGTGCATGAGGTGCAATGCAACCAAGGCTTCCCTCCATCTTGTCTGCTGACCTCTTCCCTTCCCTTCCCCTCGTCTGGATCCACTCTTCCTCTTCCTAGCTCACCATGTGCTACAGCCTCCATGCTTTAGCGCCCTGCTGACATGAGACCCTTCCACAGGAGGCCACTCAGCGTGGATGTTGTAGCTCTGTAGGTCAGCCGACCCCGTCGGGAGCAGCGGACTAATGATTCCCCTCACTCCTCCACCTTGTTGTCTTCGCCCCAACTCGCCCACACATCTCTCTCAATAACCCCCCCCCCAGCCGCTCTCTGACCTGTGACCCCTCATTTCCATCCATCTGACCCCGATTCAGCTCAGTGAGGACCAAGTGTCTGTTTATTGATAAAACAGCATGGCGCCACGCTGACATCGCCCTCATCTGCTCCCCTTGTTCATCCTCTCTACACTCATTTTGAGCAGCTTTTTATATTTAAAGTAAAACAAAAATGGCCTCACCCTTTAGTGAAAGAGAGCAAAATGATGAATTATTAAGGCGTAGGAAAAGTGTTTCAGCTGAGGACCGTTTTAGAAAGTCATAAGCGGACATCTCGGTCTCATCAGGAGGGTTTCCTCCAAACCTTAATATTATTCATTGATCTCATTTGACAGAAAATGGAGACGATAGCAGCAGTGATGAGTCTGCTCAGAGCCCTTCTGCAGAGGGGAAGTAAGTTCATGTTCACCATAATAATATACATTATGTATCTCATGACTTGTTAGTATTATGCTGTCTTACATTATGTTATGTTTGTGTTGTGTGGAGTTATGACATATGTGTTGTGTTCCTCTGAATGTTTATGTTGGGTAATTTTATTTTGATTAACTGTTAATGTTATCTTTTACTTTATGTTATGTTACATTTTTATTTTGCATTTACGTCGTGTTTATTTGAACGCATTCATTTTACACTATTTTAGATTAGATGGAATTTTTTAAAAACATTTAGGAGATAAGAAAACAAAACAAGAATAACTGATTAAATGAACAGTAAACATATAAAGATGTTTCTCAATAAAATAAATAAATAAATATAAATGTGACCGTATGTGTTTTATTTATGCAGTATGATGTTTATATGAGAAGTTTATATTTTATGTTATGTATTGTGTGTTTCTATCAATCTTTATTGACTCGTATGAAACTCTTGTACTCCCGTCAGCTCCTTGACGTCAGATCTCATGAAACTCTGCGGAGAGACCAAAACAAGAAATAAGGTATAACGATGTGTCCGTGCCTCGTTCTCTGCGTGCACCAGTATTTCCCCCGATGGCATCCCCTCTTCATTGTGTTCTCACCTGCAGGCTCGTAGGAGGACCACCACTCAGATGGAGTTGCTGTACGCAAACAGTGACTCCACCCCCGACGCGTCCACCGCGGACTTCTCCGGCCCGTTGCTGCCGTTGGCTGAGACGCCGGACGGGGGCGGAGACGTGGACTCGTCAGGCTCATCAGTCAGGGACTACACAGCTCTCTCCCCCGGCTTTTCCTCTAAAATGGGCAGCATGTAAGTCCAGGCCCGGCACTCTGTCGCTAACACAATAATTACTACTTCCTTCCTTCCTGCATGTTTGATGTTGCCGCTACATCCTCTGCTTCAGTTCATTTTTCCTTCACATTATTTATGAGCATCCTTACATCAAATGGCCATACCTCCCCCAACCTGAGGTAGAAGCATGTCGAGAGGAGCCAATAATAATATTCGTATGGCTTATTTATTACAGTGCCCTACGGAAACTACCTTTCTCAGTAAAAATACTAACGGATTGCTTTAAGTGGTTTGTGAAAAGCCATGTTTCAAACATAAGTGCACATTGACTTGTATATAAAAAATAAAAAGCTTTGGCTGACAGCAAGTAAAGTAATAGAAATATGTTTTAGCGGAGCACAAAATCACCACAGTTAAACATGAGCTTGGCGAAGAAACCCCCCCCCCTGTTTTGGGAGTTTAAATCTCAGGTAACGTGTTTCCGTGTGCTGCATGCTCATCTCGTCATTGTTTTCATCATTTATATGTTGTTTTCACATCCTTTATCATTGTTTTTTTTTTTTGTATACTGTCTTTGTGTCATCTGTGGATAACATTAATGACACTGAAACGATCAGTTCTGGCTGCAGAACCTCGTCGGGGCTGGAGAAGCGAGCTCCGGAGCCTTCCCCGCTCTCTCGCAGGAAGACCTACGACAAGGCAGCGGCCGACAGGGCAAAGCTCAAGGAGATGAAACAGTAAGAGCTGGTTGCCGGCGTTGTGGCTGCAAGGCCCGGGAAAAGCAAAATAACTTCACTTCAACTCTACTAATGCTCCTCCTGCTCGGTTTCCTGCTTTGAAGAAGCATGCGGTATCAAATATGCTCCTTGCCTGGTGTGATAACCTTTGACCTGCCAAGTTCTACGCTAAATTTAAAGTCACATCGTTCCGACGCAACTTGGATTTCTCTTTGACTCAAATTCACTGTGCAGCTTGCTAATCAACCTCTTCTGCTGCCGATCTACGTGTGATACGCGTTTTAATTTATTCAGGAAATCGCCGCCTTTTCTCTCTTTGTCTGATCAGGAGGTTATTGTGAGTGAGAAGACTGAAATAGTGTGTTTTAGTGTTTGTAGATTAAGTTGACTTGAATTTGACTTCATGCTTCTCCCTGAAACGAGGCTACTGCTTTAAAATATAAAATAACTTTTGATAACTTCTGCTGTAAAATGTACAAATAAGTGTTATTTGTGCAGCTCTGGTGAGGCAGGAACTGTCATGACTGGACAATATCTTAATATATCGAGATATAATAAACCTCAGTAATGTCTTCCTCAGACGAGTCTGAACACGGGAACTCTTTCCTGTCCAGCTGTCCCGACAGTTGCTCCCATACGACGTGAATGCAGCATATGCGTCTCCCTTCTGTCTCCGCGCCGTCCTCCCACACTCCTGCCAGTAGTGTGTAAACAGCTTAGCACCACACACTTTAATTATGCTGCAGCTTCATTGGCAGCCCTACTGTCTTCTTCCTCCTCCACAGCTCGGGCATCGGGATCCTGACGAAGAGCCAGCCGCTTCCTCGCTCCCCCACCGCTCGTCCCAGTAACCACCTCGCCGCGTTTAGCTGCGTGGCCGGGTATCTGGGGCGTTCTGCAAACGCCCTGCAGGATAAGTAAGAACCAGAAACGAGTCAAATCAACACGAGCCAGCCGGAGATTAGAGGTAGCTTAAGATGCTAGGGACGAGCCAGAGCATTGTACTCCACACTGCCGCCTTATTTCACACTTTACTGTAGGCTTCTCCTGCTAATGTAAACGTGAGGCGCACATTTAGACTTAGGAGTGAAATGTTGCAGTGAAGTAATACAAGAACAAGCTTCCTCAAGGCTGTGTTGCCCTCGTTATGATTGTTATGTTGACGTCAAAGACAAAGTGTCCTAAAACCATCGGAGACATACTGGTGGTATCGCATGGTGTTTCGATCAATTAGCAGTGCACTCTGTAGGATGGGAGATTTGTTTTCGACCTTCCATGTAGCCATTATGTTCTCAGTTGTGTTGAATGTAATGGGAAATCATTTCACAGACTTGCTGGTGACGGTTACTCATCATAGTAAACATCTTGTTTTGGTGAGTTAACGTGTTGAATGGTAATGTAAGAATTGTCTTCCTTATTGGTAAATTGAAGTGTTTAAGAGTCGGCTGCCAGAAGGCGTCCATGTCTACACAACCAGAGTACCGTTACTACTTGGTTTGTAGCTACTGCAAATTTTAAGAGTTGCTTTTTGCAGAAATTGTACATTTCTTCAGCAGAAATACCGTCAAGAAGTCAGATTCAGCTCTTAACTAAATGTTGACTCAATAAGTAGTGCTGCGTTTGACTGTCAGGGAACTGTAGTTGTCATTGTGCGAGTTCTTTTCTGGTAGATTAGATTACTGTAGATTCAACTCGACGTGACAATAACAGAAGGTTCAACTTTCAGCAAATGATTTTCAAACTTTCCTGGTTCGACCTGAAAGCAGTGGAAACATGGAAGGTAGAGGATGTTACAGCTGCGACATGCTGCACCACCAGTATTGACCTTTATGGTCGTTGTATACCATTAGGGTAACGTTAAAATAGTGTTGTGTTTAAAATACTTTCCCATTCATGAGTACAGAAGTTCACTCTAGTCTTAATCCAATACAGAATGATTACGTAACTTAGATAAGAACAGGAAGTAAAAGGTGTTTAGTTCAGTAGCCAATCGGGTCTCAGGACTATCGGATGCTCTCTTCCCCTCCAGGGAAAACGGATACCTCCACCTGTCCTCCAACCACTTCCTCCGCTCGGTTTCCCCTCCTCTCTCTGCTCCACCCAAGTACAACCTCATCTTATGTTTTATCTGCCACACAACTCACTAAAATGTCACTTCTGGGTGTACGGGGCAAAAAGGTGAAAACCGAACCACAGACTCACACGGTGTGAATTTCTTTTCATCAGACCGACGTTTAACCGGAACCTCCCCAAACACTAGATTAACCAGACATGAGCAGTTAATGAATGTAAGTTCTTTGTTGGATCAATAGATAATTACAATGAACCCAAACTGTGTCATCTTGTTAAGCTTATTACTGCTACTAAACCCTTTAATAATCCTCTCTTTTCATGGGCCCTTTTATTTTCATTATTCTGCACACAGCAGGCATTTTTAAACCTCATTTATTCAAAACTCCTGAATATCGACGTCTGGCTTTGCGGTACACCATCAGCTCATCATGCCGCTCCACTGACACTGATGGCGACCACTGTTGGAGATCGTACAGTCACCCTATCAGACGGCAATCAGTCAACACGGCCAGCCAGTTAGAGATCGATCTGGGCGTCTGTGACGCTATTGAACTTGCGGTCCCCGACGATCTGACACCGCTGGTTTCCAGTCGTCTGTCTTTTGTTTTAATCTATTATAGGCTGGAAACAAGAAGCTCCTTTCTTTGGCACAGCTGTTCACATCTGTCTCCTCATTTTTCTGTGGACTGTTCCTGTCTTCTCTTTTCTGTTTTTGATTCGCAGCATCGTGCTAATCATTCACGAGCTGCACGCTGGGCATGACTCTGGTTGTGTGGGTGTGATTTCTGCTGCGCTCAGATTGTTGGACAGTGTTTGATAGAGGTGTGTGTGTGTGTGTGTGTGTGTGTGTGTGTGTGTGTG